ACTTTTCAGTTTTGGTCTAGTTTTCAGCAAGATATGATGAAACTATCTTTTAGTACAACATTCCACCATCAAACTGATGGACAATAAGATAGAACAATTTGCATATTGGAGGATATGCTCTGAGTTTGTATTCCTGACTTCGAGGGCCATTGGGATGATCACCTATCTTTGATAGAGTTTACCTACAATAACAACTATCAAGTAAGTATTGGCATGACCCCGTACGAGGCATTGTGTGACCGCTTTGTAGGTTGCTGATCTGTTGGGAAGAGGTGGGTGATAGAAAATTATTCGGTCGAATCTTGTAGAGGAGACTACAGCCAAGATAGTTAAGATTAGAAAGAACATCTAGATAGCTTAGAGCAGGAAGAAAAGTTATGCGGATACCCGGAAGATAAATTTAGAATTTGAGAAAAGTGATTGAGTGTTTCTCAATGTCACCCCTTTCAAGAGAATCAGTAGGTTTGGCAAGAGGAAAAATTAAATCTCTAGTTCATTAGACCATTTGAGATCTTAAACAAGATTGGTACAACTACCTACAGACTGACACTACCTCCAGAACTATTCAGGATTCATAATGTGTTTCATGTATCCATGTTACGTAAGTACAACCCAGACCCCTCACGCATCCTGTCCCACGAGCCCGTTTCACTTTAGGAGGATCTATCCTATGGGCATTGTAGACCGAAAAAGCAGAGCACTTCGCAGCAGAGAAATTTCCTTTGTAAAGGTCCTATCACATAATCACACACAAAAAGAGGCTACATGGGAGCTAGAATCGGACTTCAGAGGCTAGTATTCCCAACTGTTTGACTAAGTGAAAGGGTGACAAATTTGAGAGACCAAATTTTTTCTTAAGGGGATAAGAGTTGTAATACCCGGGCCCAGAATTTAGCCCAAGATCAATTTTCGTGTTTATAAAAATAATTAAAAATATTATTTTAATTTAATTTTATTAAATTATTTAAGAAAAATAGGTTATGGACGTAATTGAAAGCAATGTTGGGGAAGAATGATGAAATTTTGAGTTCGAGGGTGTTTTGAAAGAAAAATTAGAAATTAGGGGTCAAAATACAAAAAGAAAAAGTTCTGTCACGTGGAATGGTCCAGTCAGCAGCCTCGACGAATCAGAACACGCTGCGTGGCAAAACACGCTGACATCGGTACCACGCAGGAGACCACGCAGGCAATCCACGTGCCCAGCGATCCGACAGCCCAGATTCAATCCTGCACACGTGAATGGCTCAAATGCATTCCCTCTTTAGGCGCGATCGAATGAAGGAGATCAATCGCAATTAATGGTCCAGATTTGCCAACGCAATCGACCTAAACTAGCAACAATCAGACCATTTTCCTCGCTCTATGTTGATGTGAATGGACAGTCCAGATCAACGCGGAATAAGTATATAAACATAGGGAAACCCTAACCCTAGCCGCCCTGCCCTCGCCAGAGAAGAAGAACTAGTCATCAGAGAAGGAGAACGACCCCTGGTCGCTGTCGCACCAGAGCCACCGCCGACCGCCGACTGCTAAAAAAGGTAAAATTCTCTCATACCTGCTCGGAATTTGATTTCGAGTCTTCCCGTGACCATATCAAAGCAAAAGAGATGTCGGGTGAGCTAAAAATTGCGAGTAAAGCTCGGTGGAACCATCACGGCAGAAACCCTAAAACCCCTCCGAGAAGCCCCTTCCCACTTCCCGTTTCACAAATTTTTCTGATAATTATGTTCACCGTCTTTTTTTGTACAGGTTAGCTGAAGAAAAAACTCCAGTCGCGAAGGAGAACCGGCAGAGCCACCACACCCGGTATGGTTTAGTTTATTGTTAATGAATGTGAATTTATGATATGTTTTATGTTGTTGATCGTGTATAAAGTTATGATCCGTATGATATTATTGCTTCTATAGTTTGTTTTCATAAATTCCACAATTGTAAGTGAATGGTAAATGATTTTATGATTGATAAACGAATTTGCTAAATTTAGTGCTCCATTAGTTATTTTGATTTTCTACCAATTTTTGCTTCTGTGCCGGTGATATAGTGTGATGTCCTTACTGAGTTAATATAGCTCATCTTTTATTTAACCATTTCAAATCAAGAAGACCTGGTTTCAGAGTCCGATCCACAAGAAGATTGCGAGTAGTTACTAGATACTTTATATTTTCCTTTAGTTTTTTCATTTATCGTGTTTCTTTTAAAAAATTCATTCCGAAATATTTATTTAGTATTTTTAAGTTATTGTGTAAGGGATATAAAGCTTAATATTTTATTTCGGTTCCGCACTTAAATTATTATATATTTCCTTTTGGATTTTTGGAATCGTTACAATAAATTTCTAACTTTTAATTCTGTCTTTAAAAAATTAAAAATAATTTTACTTTTTAACTGAAACTATTTATATATTTTAGTGTTTGATTATACTAGTGCCACAAGCAGAAGCAGTACCAGCAGTGGCTAAACATGCTCTTATCTTCTTACCCTGTTGTAACTAAAAGAGAATATTTTGAATTTTGATCTCATAATTCAAAAAAGAAAAGAGAAAAAGAGTTTTTATTGTTATATAAATAATAATAATAATAAGAACTGGCCTCTAAAATTTAAGTGAAAGAAAGCCTGCCGAAACCCAAATGGTCAACCTGAGATAACTCTAACCAAACTTCTTCATTAAATCTTCCCATTTCATCTTCCTCATTTCCAGTTTCTTCCAATCTCAAACTCCCATCTCTTTCCACTACAAATTCAACATCACTTTTCTCGCATTTTCTCTTGCTTCCCGTTTTTTTCCCGATCCCCAAACACCTCCTCCCAGCCATCAACGGGAACTTGACAAACGCAAGAGCCAAGAGATTGAAGAGCGCACAGGGGCAGCAACAGACGGCCACACAATCAGCTACGATGGCGGCGCTGCATGATAAGCAACACTTGCCGGAGCACTCAATCGGATCTCCACAACCATCGACGGTGTACCTTCTCTTCCCTGTTTGTGTCCCACCATCTTTGCCTGAAACTCCATTTATAGAACATTCCATTTTCAATATTTTTCTACACAAGTTTTCTCCTGTGAAAACAATAAAGTCAAAGATTACTTACTTCTTTTGATTCTTTCTCGAGGATGTATGTAAGAGTACTTGTTTTTTAGAAAAAAAAAAAAAATGCTAACTAAGAAAAAATAAAATATTTTTTTTTTCACTTTTTATATAATAAAATATAAATCAAATTAATGTTCAAATTTTAATATTTTTACTTTAGTACTTTTTTTATTATGATTTAATATTTAATATTTTTATATATTTTAAATATTTTTATTAAAAAATTAAAATAATTAAATAATTTTTGAAATTTTTAAAAAATAAAAAAATAATTTTAACTAATTGATTAAATTATAAATTTAGTTAAAAAGTAAAACTATTTTTTAAATATTCAAATGTCAACCAATTTTTTTCTATTAAAAATTAAAAGAAACTATACATTTTAAATAAATAAAAAATGTAGAAAAATAAATTATAATAAAAAATATTAACAACTAAATTGTAGTAAATATTAAATTTTTAAGACTGATTTAATAATTTTTCATAAATATATAACATAAAAGTTTAAAAGTGTTGTAGCAAGAAGGCTAAAAGTTTTATGTAATGAAGTGTAAGTTAATAAGGAAATACTTCCATGATGGTGCATTTAGATTGGACTGCAAGGTCGGAGAAAACTAGGGAAAAGATTCTTTTTCACATGGGGAAGAATACAAGTATGGCCATGGGTGAAAAAGTAACTACTATAATATATACACACACACATATATATATATATATATGTATTTAAAAAGAAGTTATAAAAACTATAAGTTACTGTAGTAAATTCGGCCAAATTCTAATTAACAAAATAACAAAGTATTAGAAGTGAGACAATAATTTATACATTTCAATAATATATGCTAACAATTCTTATAAATTTTATGCTTAAAGAAGAAGATTATAATTAATGGTAATTATATTGAGCAGGCAAACTTAGGAGATCATCCGTTAATAAGATAATTACTCTTAATATTAATATTAAACGCTCACATTTTTGTAAGAAAATCCTAACTTAAACTTTTCTTTATTTTGTAAAAAAATTATGTAAGAATGAGATTGCAATGACTAACAGATTATACTAATTAATAAGAATTAGGAAATTAATCTCTGAAATTTCATCATGCACATTGTGAATCCAAATCTTAAATTATTTGAAGAGCATATATATACTTATATATGTATTATTCTAACTTTCTTTCTGAGTACAGATGAGAAGTGATCAAAATATACCATTTCTTTCAAAAAAAATAATAAACTTTTACTGAAGAAAAATGAGAAAATATGAGACATGTACTTGCCTTTCATGAACTTCTTCTGCTAGTGGAAACTCAAACCCATTTCTCTGCTAGCTTCTTCTCTGCAAAACCATATTCAACATGTGTGTGTGTGTGTGTGTGTGTGTGTGTGTATCCTTCTTTCTCTCTCTCTACCTCTTTCTATGCATCACCCAAAGCAATTTGCTACTAGTATATTTATATATATATATATTTGTGTACGTAAATTATTATGTATATAAAGGGTTATAAAGAAGCAAACAGAAGTACTTCGATTGGATCTGAACAGACACAATGCAAGTTAAAAACTAATCTTACTTACGTATAGTTATTATATATCTAAGATTTCAACAACAGGGAATCATCTACATATATATGTGTGTATATACATCTGGACACGGGGTGTGTTTGGCATCTGCAAATCCATTTATATTATAACGAGTAGTAAACTTTTCTAAAAAAGAGCAAAACAATTTGTTATGGTGAAGATTAAAAAATAAATGGAGGCTGATGAGTCCCGATGTCAGCGAATATGGGGAAATTGTCCCTCTCTTCTGTTCCTTTGACCCTTATATATATATATATATATATATATATATATATCTTTCATTTTTATTTTTTAA